GTGAGCGATAGAAGAAGATTAAAACCGATTGCGCGATACAGGAAGCATTCCATAGCAAGTTCAGCGATTATGTCAACAAAAAGAACGCGCTCTATTGCCGAGAAATTATACCCACTTATGTCGTGTGACAGATTACTCGACTGTCAAATAATGCAAAACCTACTAATAGAGTACTTGACATTTTCATTGGAATACTGTAAATATTAAATAAATACGATGTACTTGAATATTGGCAGTGAGAACCGTTCCTCTAGTATTAATACGCAGTAATGTGTGTATCGCACGTTGCCAAGCCACATTTTGTCACTACCTGGTCCGTGCTACAATTAATAAATAAAGCGGGAGCGGACAATAATTTCGGCCTCGCCAGTAGCACAAGCAAACTTGATGTAATCTCCAGCTGTTATAACGTCGACTATCATGACCAAACCCAGCCGAGAAATAGATTTGAATGAAGAGAACTTTGTAAAAAGAGGGCTGCAGACAGACTCTGCAGCACGAACAATAACAGTAATAATTTAACGAAGAGGCTTAGTTATACATAATACCCGCTTACTAGTGTATGCTGTTAATTAAGAGGTCGGGCCATATATTTATGGCACCATTCCACGGTAATGACTGGCAACGTCACACCTGGCAGGTGGCCACTAGGCCGTGTCTTCCCCACAAGGATGCATGGATGGGCTATTGGCCGTGCGAAGTACTGTTAATAAGACCGCTGAACTGATTGAGAAAGTGTCAATGACCTCAGAAGCGGAGGAAAGGTACGAATCGGCGCCGAAATCCCGTAATATCGCCGACTCGTTGACGGAAATGTAGTACCAGTGCACTTGTGCATCCAAAGAACATCAAATTGTTCCAAGCGGGAGTGGAATACCAGCTCATGGGTGGAGAGGGCACTCCCGAAATTGTCGGGTGTCACAGATGTTCTTTGCGAACTTGCCCTCGCAAAGATCAATAACCATAACGCAGACTCGTCACACCAACTCTAAAGGGCATCCATAGCCCTCGTATCAGAGAGTGACCACTTCATTATGTGAAAAGAGGAATCGTTCAGCATGGGTAGGACAGTGGACACGCTTTCGGAAGGGCTTCCCGTCGGGTCCAGTACAATTGCCCCAAGTGGAGGATATGCTACATGTATAATGTATCACACGTAGTTATTAATATTTATAAATATATTGGACTGAATCAGCACTCCAACATCCATTTATGTGTTGTGGCCATACGACTTGTTAAGAAAGGATGTTATAGTACGTATACAATTACGTTTGCAGATGTCTCTCCCTCTCCCTCCCCAGGATTACGTCCACCTTTAAGTTCTCACCTACTAGCTGGCTCATCGTCACCAATCGATACTCTATTTCAAACACGTTCTCATTGGAGAGAAAAAAGAGCACATCTTTCTATATCCCCCCCTCCACGCCCATTTTCAATAGTTTTCAATTCTACGCTGCTATTTGTCATGTCTCTTCCTACCGACTCCTCGGGCACGCTATTGGTCCCAAGTCTTGACGGCACCATCATTCCTTACTTCAGATGCAATGTCGACACTTGCTCGCTTTCCTATGCACAAGTCCAATATCAGCCCTCCGAAAGCGGCAACCTCACGTACTTGATCATCTTCGCTGTTCTGCTTCTCGCCCAATCTGTTCTTGGAATCATATACCGAACATGGGGGTTCTCTATCGCCATGGTGCTTGGCTTGGTGCTGGAGGTCATAGGATATGTAGGGCGTTTACAGATGCACAATGACCCCTTCAAGATGGATCCTTTTTTAATGTATGCTATTTTGCTTGTTGAACCACTCCAGGTCCCAAGGAGCTATGCTAATTTAGGAACAGATACCTCATCTGCCTAACTATTGGTCCCGCCTTTCTATCAGCAGCTGTCTATCTATCGCTTTCGCGGCTCATTGTGGTCCACGGCGCATACCTGGCTCGTTTTGCGCCTCGCACCTACACGATAATCTTTGTAACATGTGACGTCGTCAGTCTAGCCCTACAAGCGACAGGTGGTGCATTTGCTGCCACCGACGGCGATAGCAATCTCAAACACACAGGCGTCAATGTAATGATTGCCGGTTTATCGTTCCAGGTGGCTAGTCTATGGACATTTATTATCCTTTCGGGAGACTTCGGGTGGAGATTAAGAGGTTTGAATGGGGTTCAGGAACAGAAAGCTTCAAAATTGAGAATGTCAACAATGGTCAAGGCGTTTCCGTGGGGTGAGTCAAACCTGTTACTGGTCGGTGTGAAGCAGTAACTGACAGGTACAGCGACCGGAATCGCCACGATAGCAATTTTTATTCGATGCGTGTACCGCTTAGCAGAGTTGCAGGAAGGCTTCGCCGGGAAATTGGCAAATGATGAGGTTCTGTTCATGATTTTTGAAGGTCCGATGATCACGCTTGCTGCAATTGCCATAACGATATTTCACCCAGGTTTTTGCTTCAAAGGAGCTTGGGGGTCGCTGAAGTAAACATCTTCAATGAGATACCCGAAGACGGCGCAAAAGGAGAAGTATTCAATTATAGAACTTGATGGAGTAAAACAGGGCTGAAAAGATGGTAAACACTATAACTCGGTCCATTGCAGTTGATAGGAGCCGGAAATCAATTTGATGACATACAAATATTAGGAATACAAAGTCTACTGTCCAACGAGAACACACGGAACATACAAGCATCAATGAATAATAGTATTGAACAATCATCATTTTTGACCACAACCCCGGTAGTAATTCATGTAGGGCATCGTGAAATCTAACAGGGTCCAAGCCGGCTGGCCCAGGCCGAAGGCGAGAGTGTAAGCCGGGCCACATCGGGCTCAGCCCGTTACATGCTCGACACGACTTGAGTTTGAAGTGGGAGCTGAGTTAAAATTAGGCCCGAAACAGGAATCGTCTTGGGTTGATGCTTCCTGTCTTTTGCAGAACATGACTCGGTGCTTTGACCCTGGGCTTCTGGCTTATTCTTGGCAGAAGTGTTCCACAATTCATCATGGCGGAACAAGGCATGACGCGTATCTGGAGACTGGAGTGATGGCCAGATAAGAACAAGGATCGGGGAATATTGAGAGTTGAAAGGACGAGCATTCAGATCATGAAAAATTCTCATGTAATACCATTCCGCCTAGCCTCAGATGCATTTTGTCGTAATTTAGTTGCACCCTTCACATCATAACGCTTCCTTTTTCACGTGATGAGACTCATTGTGACGCATTTTTAGATGTCTATTAGCTATAGTTATTGAGAAATGCTGTATATTCATGACCTTTCCCCCCCCTCCTTCTACCGATGAAACGTCACATCTTTAATACCTTCAGAATACTGCTGCCTCAAGGCAGCAGTATTACGACCACTATTGCGACCCAGGTGGTAAAACGGTTGCGTGTTCAATGAGCAGAGGCAACATTGACCGACCGCCTAACCAGCTTCAGCCTAGATTTCCGAGGCCCTGCTGGCCTCGGCCATTAATTGTTATTAATTGTCAGTATAGCGATTCACAGCAACCTCTGCATTCCCCAACTATACGACGTAGCGACGCCTATCGTGACCCCCACGGTAGGGCTTTTTACGCGAGCTCGGCCATGCCGGGCTTCGCTTATAGGTTCGCCTGGGTTCCCAGGTCTTTCGCGAATATTCCCGCTACATCATTCGATTTAAATCAGTCTAAGGTCTTTAGAGAAGTACGCGTCCACTGAGGTCTAGTACCTACAGTGGATTTTGCCCAACACATTGTTACAATACTGTAAGTAACTAAGCGTTTTGATAAGTACATGTAGTTACTAGCCACGGTAATCGGTTTATAACACTCTTACATTGCGTAATCTGGCCACATGCGTTCGAGCCAAATACTGCAACACTCGGAGATGCTCCATTTATTTGAAGGATGAGAATCAAAATTTATGTAGCAGTAATAATGCCGTTCACTAAATAACATCATTGCTTTGTCGCGGGTACACGGTTGTGATGCTGATGTTTTGTTGTCGTAACAGAATGAGCTCCTTCTCCATTCGGGTGTTGCTGTGCACATCTTGCTCACATATAGATTTCAGCCTTCGCTTACGTTTGTAACACCCAGACTCCAGTCTACTGGCTCAAACTTTGAGTACAAAAGCTGAGAGGTTCTGAAGAAAATCGATGGCCCTATCTCCAGTAGGCGGAGTTTTATGTGACGAATAGTAGCTAATGAATGCCGTATCACTACGCTAGTTATGTCAGGGTAGCATGGAGAAAAGGGAGCGGCTGTTAAAAATGTGTGTGCGCCGCTTAGCATGGATGCAATCGTTTAGCTTCTGCATGGTCCTGATAACGTTTTGATGCATCTTGAACAAGGAAATGAGTTCCGCAGTCTTTTAACGACATCCACAGAGCGGCTAAAAGGAGCTATGTATTTCTGCACCTTCCTCCTCACGATCTAGGTTTGCCAAGACGTTCCAAAAGCCATTGGAACGTGTGGCAGACATATTTTCGTGCTAGAAAAATAGATCAGGGTTGATAAGGGGTCTGTGACTTCCGGAGTACAGCGGTAGACGCAATTCCTCCGCGGTATTTGAGCTGCGGCCAAAAAAATGGCCAAAATGGTGTATGTATCTACACCCACTAAATCTAAGATTATTGGATTGTTTCCGATTACATACCAACGCTTAAGTGTCTTTAGGACGACGTGAGAAAACTATCAAGTCATATTTGTTTTTTTTTTTTTTTTTGCTGCAAGGGGACGAATAATGAAGGTCTATACCATTCCGAACGTAGTTCGTATCGCGTACAATCATCGTTCCACGTCAGAGAACTCGGCCGCGGCCGACTCAGCCGTGACGGGTCTGTCGGTCAACTTGGAACAAACGGCCCATAATTTTTTTTCAAGTGCCTCATATAATTGTTTGTTTGTGGAGTGCAGAAGTTTCTGTAGGACCCCAGAACTCTCTCATAATTGGCAAATTCACTCTGCACGTTACCACTAGCTGCGACTCTGATCCATATTTCTGTACTTCTGTCAGATTGCATCGTGCGACACCAACCTTATTGTACCACCTCAAAGCTAAGTTCTGTCAAGACTGGTGTCACTAGACAAATACATAATACCCGAGAAGTCATTCATCTCATTCGGAATTGGAACACATTGGTTCTTGGCAACAGAAATCTACCCAGGAGGAGGCTCATAGTAACGGAGGTGCTGAACATTCCTCTTCGTTTTAAGAATTCCCTTGCTTCGTCAAGTGTACAGTACCTAGTACTAGTAGTGAATGATGAACCTCGCAGTCTGTTGGGCAAAATGCGGACAATCTCGACACCATGTGTGTATCTCTCCTCGTCGCCAAGACCCAACTGGAGCCTGGATTTTTTTTATTATGGGCCACAGCGACACAAGGTCCATATTTCTTTCACAATCCCTGCGGAAGACCACTCTCGTCGTCCGAGCGTCCCCATTTGATCTCCATGTTTGTCAGTTGCCAGCGCCTCACCTGTCTTCACACCATCCGCCGCCACGAAGTCGATTTGGGCGAGATGATGTTGTCTGGCCCTGAAAATGGCTCATTCATTAACATTTATCACTTCCTAATCGGACAAGTCCTGTTTACACAGCAATTATGGGTTGAACGGAACGGCCTGTAAGCCTTTCGGATGATAACGGCTGGTTTTTTTTATTTACAAGTACCATACTATGCCGGGAATGTCGCGTAGCATATAGGCTATTATTAAAGCTTCCGAGGAGATTTCAGTAGGCCTACAGTTTTGCTCTTTTTGGCGCAACAGGTAAATGCCCTATTCGACACCTCATAAAAAACTATCAAACACCTCAAGAAGCGACGCGGAGTTAGAAGATGCCAGTCACGAATCGATGACTAAAAAGTAACGAAAATTAGGTTCTGTGAACTCTTACTATCGTGGTAAGTTAGAGGTGGGTACCGTACTGTCGCGTTATGAGACTTATGTTAGCTCAGCTTCTTCACCAAATCATTGTTCTTCTTCTTGTCTCTGCTGCAGACTCTGCCTGCAGCCATCTTTTAAATACCAAGAATATTCCTTTTGTCCGAATCTAACTTTCGGCTAAGTTTAGTCATAATAACTGACACTATGACAACCAGCAATTACACCAAGTTCTGCGACTTCAGTCTACAGAGGCATTACCCGAAAGGTACATACGTACTGTAAGACTAAGAACAAAGATTGGATGCCCTCAAAATGATGGATAAGGCCGTCTTCATTGGTTGAACAAGAAAATCTTGGTGTAATTGTTGATTGTCATCATAACTGTTGTGAATGAACAAAGATAACACAAGGATCGATATGGGAAGCTGGCATCCAGTCGAGGGTTGTGAGGGCTATCAGGGGCTCTTAAAGTAGACGGGTGGCGGTATCTAAGAATGATGCATAGACTATTCGAGTACAGTACTGTACATGCTGTCGTGTATATACTTGACACGAGAGTATATTTAATTGGCATAGATGAAC